ATAACAATAATAATATAAAAAGGCAACGTTGCTTCAAGAAAAGCTTGGTTCTTTGGTTTTGTGAACCACTGCCTGCCAAATGTTAAGTGTATTTTTACTTACAGAAGAAGCAGAAATGTACTAATTAAAAGGAAATGCTGGGGTTCGTAGGAAGCTACATTCTCTTGTCCTGTACCATATACAAGAGCTTCTGTATATGTTTTAGAGTTTATCGTACACACACGCACACAAATGCGCACAAATGTGCTCGATAGAATCCTTTGGGGTGTGTATGCGTGATTGCTTTTAGAGAGACTAAATTATTCAGCAGTGGGAACGATCATGGCTAAATGTGCAGCTTTGAAGCCTAACCATTTATTCAATTTTGTTTGATTTCTTCAAGGGAACTGATGGTCAAAGAGCCACTGGAAAAACTGGGATTTAAAGACCTAAAGGAAGAGAAACCCGAAGACCAACCGGAGACAGTGCACCAAAAAAATCCCTCCTGACCTTCAGTTTTAATCCCAGGATCTGCAGTCGTACCTATTGTACATTGCCTCATTTGCGTTTCGTTTTAAGAGAAAGTTATTCGTGGAAAAGGTTGCAGAAATTCAGCAAATGACAGCTTGGTAGGAATGATGGTGGGGTTTGTCTTCCAGCTGTTTCCGTAGTTTTGGGATAGTTTTTCCTTTAAAAAAAAGAAAAGAAGATTGCAGTGCTTTTGGATAGAATGTTTGGACTGGTGTTGATATTAGAACATTAAAAACTTAAGCCAATAATCAGAAATTACGCTGTTAGATTTCTGTACTCTGTACTGAGTTTTTATTAAAAGGTTTAGCCTTATTTTTCTCTCTGCCCATGTGAGAAATGAGCTGTGTTGGGTTCTGGCTGCAACAGGATGTGTATGGGTGTGTATCTGAATACAGGCAGTCCTCAGTGACTGACTTGGTTAGTGGCTGTTCACAGTGATGACATTGGTGAAAAAGTGAATTTGCAACCTTTCCCCCCACTGATAACCTTACCAGTTCAGCAAAATGGAAGAAAGCTGAAGGAAGACCGTAAGCACAGTTGTGGATTCCCTTAATGACCACGTTGCTGATGCCAATTGTCGCTAAACAGGGACAACCTGTATCGAACAAACCTCCATGAGTGAAACTGCAGGAACGTGTCTGGAGGTCCTTTAGGAGAAACAGCCTTTGTGAGATAAATACACAATACCGGTTGTTCTCAAATTATGACGACAACTGAACACAAAATTTCCGTTGCTAAGCGAGACGGTTCTTAAGTGAATTTTGCCCCATTCTACAACCTTTCGTGCCACAGTTGTTAAACTGAATTGCCTCAGCTATTAAGTTAGTAACCCGGTTGTTAAATGAACCCATTGACTTTGCTTGTCAGAAGGTCGCAGAAGGGGGTCCCACGACCCCAGGACGCCGCAACCTGGGGTCATAAATACGAGTCAATTTCCAGTTTCCAACTGTCTGAATTTTGATCACAAGTCCATGGGGATCCTGCAACGGTCGTAATTGTGTGAAAAACGGTCATAAGTCAACTTATTTCCGTGCTGAGGCACTAAGGCAGTGCTGAGGCACTGAAAAATGGTTACTAAACGGACTGTTGTAAGTTGAGGTGTCGTAGAAGCCGCTGCCCAGGGAGGAAAGAGAGGGGTCAGAATCTTTTCAGACCGACCAACCAGGCATTCTGACTATGCAGACCATCTCGGATTGTTCCTGGGAAAATAAACAACATTTCTGCTTCTTAAAAGATTATGCGGAGAATTCCGCTCGAGGCTATAAGAGCGCCCGCAACGGTGGGAAGAATCCGGGCGTCACAATGGCTCTCTTTGAGAAAGGATGTCTGTTTTGCTGCAACCTGGATAATAAATGGGGAGAAATAGTTAACCCCCCCTCCCCGTCCTAGGTCAATCAATAGAATAGAATAGAACGTCTTTATTGTCATTGTGTAACTCACAACGAAATCAAATCCAATCAAAGGAGGGGAGGGAAAATATCCAGATGCTCAAGCTGTCTCTCTCTTTGGGGAGCAAATGAAAAGTTTACAAGGGTTAGCATCGTATTTGATCTGGGTTGGGGGTTTTTTTTTTGCCCAGAAATATTTTTTTCCTCTAGCGCAGCCACGAGGATGAAATGAAAAGCCTCCCTCAACTAGCCAGGTGTATCACCCAAATTGGGGGGAAATGTTTGTTGAAAGACGTAAGAGGTTTGCCTTGTGAGTTTTGGGGCGTGTGTGTGGAGAACCTGCCTTTATTTTCATGCATTTTATTGTTTGTTTATTAAAGAAATTTACACGGGTGTCCGACTCTCCCAATAAGCATATCTGGGCTGCTTACCACATTAAAAAATCTACGATATCAAATCTCCCAATGACAGGAATACAGTCAAATCGGTCGCTTCATCGGCTCCATCTCCGTTCGGGGTTCCCAGGCCTGGTGAAAAAAACCACATTTCTAGGGCCTTTCAGAAAAGCAGCAGGGTGGGGGCCAAGCATGCTCTGAATGAACAATGTTCCATAAAGAAGGGCTCACCCCCCAAGAAGGATCTTTGTTGTGGTCCCACCAGATGGAAGACCCTAATTGATTGAACCCCATTACATGCCCTGCCTTCTATAAGCTCAGGTTTTATTTATCTATTTGTATTTCTGCCTTTATTATTTTTAGGAATAACTCCAGGTAGCAAACATATCCAATACACCCTCTGTCTTCCTATTTTCTCAACCCAACCCACCTGTGAGGTGGGTTGGGTTGACAGAAAGGAACGGGGCAAGATCACCCAGCTGGCTAGCGTGACTAAGGTGGGACTAGAACTCACCGTCTCCTGGTGATGGGCCCAAAGTCAACCAACTGGTTTTCATGCCTAAGGCGGGACTAGAACTTACAGCTTCCTGGTGATTGGCCCAAAGTCACCCTGTTGGTTTCTGTGCCTGAGGCAGGACTAGAACTCAGAGTCTCCTGGTGATTGGCCCAAAGTCACCCAGCCAGCTTTTCTGCCAGAGGCAGAACTAGAACTCAGAGTCTCCTGCTGTTTGGTCCAAGGTCACCCAGCCAGCTTTCATGCTTAAGGCGGGACTGGAACTCACAGTCTCCCACTCACTAGCCTGATGCCTTAACCAAACTGGGTTGATTTTAATATTAATTAAATTAATAGATACATTTTCTCCTTGGAGAGGGAAGAAAAAGGATGAACTCATCTTGAATCATGTTGTGTTGGCTGCTAGGCCACTTCAGAGAGAAACACAATGATGCAACTGAGGACGCCGGGGAGAAGAATCTTGTAGGAAAAAGCCGTTAGCGCTGGTCTCTGTAGCCTTGATCAATTTCAGCTTCTCTCTTCCTCTCTGTCTGATCGTTCCCCTCCCTGGTCCAATTTCATGGATTTCCAATAAGTCTGCAACATGGGAAGATCAGTTCTTTTATTGATTTAGCTATCCGGCAACTCCTTTACCGGACCAAGCATGAATTTGCAAAGGTCTCTAAGAGAGTCTTTGGTAGCTGATGACATCATTGTGCCTGTAAAAGGGTTGGCCTGCCTAAAACTGTGTACCACTTTTATTTTATTGGTTGACTAATTTTATTATGGTCCCTGCCACTCACCAATCGGGAGGGGGCGGATTGTAATTTTGTTCAATCAATCCAATGTCCAGTTCCACAGGGGATCATTTAAAAGCCCACTCGCTCTTTTACGCTGCAGAATCTGCCGAGAGAGAGAGAATTGTTCTGTTGAATTTCAGCTCACTCAGAAACATATTGAGAAGAAGAAGAAGAAGAAGAAGAAGAAGAAGAAGAAGAAGAAGAAGAAGAAGAAGAAGAAGAAGAAGAAGAAGAAGAA